CAGGGTTTTGTCAAGTAAATGTTGGTTACCTCTGGATGCTGTAATTTTGTATCAGAGACAAGATAATTACTGCCATCTAATTTGGGGGGAGATTAAAGACCCAGCATCATCTGTGAAACCTTGTGTGATTCGGAGCCTTGGTTTCTTTTAAATTTTTTTTTTTACGTTTATTTATTTTTGATAGAGAGAGACAGAGCATAAGTGGGGGAGGGGCAGAGAGAGAAGGAGAGACAGAATCCGAAGCAGGCTCCAGGCTCCGAGCTGTCAGCACAGAGCCCAATGCGGGGCTGGAACCCACAAACCGCGAGATCATGCCCTGAGCCGAAGTCGGACGCTCAACCGACTGAGCCACCCAGGCGCCCCTAGAGCCTTGGTTTCTTTTGCAATTGTTCTATGGCTTTTGTTTGCTTGTTTGCTCTTTTCTTCTCCATCTGTTTATCAGACTCCTCTCTCTCCCCTCCTCTGCTGCCTTCTTCAAGTGAGAAATCAGAGCCGTCTTTTCCACGGAATGTCCACGTGTTTGGTTTTCCCCAACCCCAAGAGAAAAATACAAGAGCAAAATTCAAATGTAAATAAAACATCAATACAGCATGCTCTTTTTGATCTTCACTGAGCCTAATTTTGCAAACTTCATCCAGGCCCGTTTGATTGAGGGATGTTTGGTTTTGAGCTTGGAAATTACCACTCTTGCACCCTTCACTTCCTCCCAGCTGTGTTGCTTCAGGTTGTTTCCGAAATATTGGAATTCAGTTTTTACTACTAGAGCGTGTCTTCAGATTACGAGGAAGAAAAAGAATAAACGAGAATGTGAGTAGAGCATACTCTGTTTGGCTTGTGCTGAGCCTGATTCTGCTGTCTTCACCAAGGCCCAAGTCCTGCCATTCTGTTTTTCTCCAGACAAGCTTTACTCTTATTCCTTTGATATACTTTGTAAAAATAATGCTACATTTGTATGGGGCTTAATAACTAGAATATTTCCACGTGGATTATTTCATTTGGTCTCACTGGGAAACTGGAAACGAGAGGACGGATAGCTCCATTTTTCAAAGAGGAAACTGATGTTCATCGGGATCCAGCTTTGGGGGCATCTGCATGGCACAATCAGTTGAGCGTCTGCCTCTTGATTACCGCTCAGATCATGATCCTGGGGTTGTGAGATCGAGCCCCACATCTGGCTCCGTGCTGAGTGTGGAGCCTGTTTAGGATTCTCTCTCTTCCTCTCTCTCTCTCTCTGCCCCTTTCTCCCACTCGCACTCTCTCTCTCCCTAAAAAATTAAAAAAAAAATAGTAAGAAAAAAATAACAGGATCAAGATTCGAATCTGTATTTTTGGAATTCAGGTCTACTATTTCCATATCATTGTGGCTCAGGGAACCACAGAAATAGATTTCCTCCTCTTTCTCTTATCTCTTCCTTATGGATAAACATTAGGATCTTGGTCTGTGTACTTAATATGATATAATTAGAATAAGCTATGGTCCCATATGCTATTAGGTGAGAAGACACAATATTTAGCTGATGAGTGACTAAATTAAATTAATAGAAAAACTTGAAGACTCAGGTGATTGACAGTTCAGTCATGAGTACCAAAATAAACCCCAAATAACAGTCGGTTAAACAAGAAAGAAGTTTACATTCTCTGCCATGTAAAATTCTGGAAGAATGGGCTGGTCTGGGGACTCTACTTTGCAAATGTCCCAGAGACCCAGGCCCCTTCTAGTCCACAGCTCTGCTAGCCTATGGTGTGGCCCTACTTCTTGTGTGCAAGGAAGCATCCTCAAATCTGGGCAGCAGGATGGAGTGAATCATAAAAATAGATCCATAAATAAAGGTAAACATTCTCACCTTCTTGAGGGAGACAGTAACAAAAAATACAGACAAGCAAATGAATTGTTAGATGGTGAGGAGGGCTAAGGTTAAAAACATAGCAGAAAAGGATGCTGGGGGTGGGAGTGTCATCATACTAAGGGGAGGTTAGGTGTGGTACGGTGCAAATGTGACATTTGATGGAAAACTGGAAGGCGGTGAGGTGGGAAGAAGGATATCTGAGGGAAGAATGTTCCAGAGGGAACAGCAAATGGGAGGGGTCTGGATGGGAGCAAGAGGAAAAGGCTAATCTTAATTTATTTGAGGAAAAGCAAAGATACTAGTGTGGCCAAAGCAGAAGAAATGATGGGAAGACAAGATGAGAAGAGAGGAGTAAGGGAGAAACGTTATATACGTTGTTGCCTCATGGCTTTTATTTGAAGATGAGAAGCCATTGGATGTTTGGGGTGTGGAAATGACCCAAATAATATTTAATAGGACCCATGGCTGCCACGATATGTTTTGGAGATGAGTGCATTCAATTTATATTGCGGTGTAAACAAATTCCTACAAATGCAATGGCTTAAAACAACACAGATTTCTTATGTCACAGTTTACATTGGTCAGGAGTCTGGTCACAGCTTACCTGGGTTCCCTGCTTCAGGCTGCATTCAAGGCGTCCACTGGTTGCCAGTCTTTTTTTTTTTTTTTTTATGTTTATTTATTTATTTTGAGAGAGAGAAAGAGAGAGAGAGCATGAGCACGAGCGAGCAAGGGGCCAAGAGAGAAAAGGAGAGAGGATCCCAAGCAGGGTCCACGCTGTCAGCCCAGACCCCCATTTGGGGCTTAATCTCATTAATGGTGAGATAATGACCTGAGCTGAAATCAAGAATCTGATCCGGCCACCCCTGGGCACCAGTCTTATTTGGAGGCTTGATTTGGGATGAATCTTCTTCCTAGCTAATTCAAGCTGTTAGCAGAATCCATTTCCTTCTGACACAGGAGCTCACGGAGGCTTGCTTCTTCAAGTTCAACAGGAGAGCCTCTAGCCCCAGTCTGCTAGATTCTTACATTACATAGTGTAACCATGGGAATGACATCCCATCACCTGTGCCTTATTCTGTTGGTTGGAAGCCTCACAGGTTCTGCTGTCACTCAAGGGAAGGGAGCTTCTGGATGTTAGGAGGCTGGGATTATTGGAGGTCACCCAAAGGCGTGTTCACTGCGATGACAATAGGACTTTGTTACTATTGTTTGGATGTAGACCTAACACGGAGACAAAGGAGAGAAGAACTGAAAAAGTTGGATGCCATTAACTGAGATCTGGGAGAGGGAGGGAGGGAGGGAAAACCAAGAGCACACATTTGGCGACACAAAGAATGAGATACCCGTTAAACGTCCCTAGGGAGATGTCGTATAGACAGTGGCATATGGAATCCCGAATTAAGGGAGGAGATTAGAGATATAAATTTGGGACTCATTAGCATATAAGAGGTATTTAAAGCCAAGGAATGAGATCACTAGGGTGTGAAGGTAGGTAAAAAACATGTCCAAGGACTGGACCCTAAGCTCCCTGCATTAAAAAGTCAGGGGATCAGGGAAGAAGCAGTAAAGGAGAAGGGAGGTAGGTAATAGTGAGATAAGAGGGGTGCACAGAGCATGGCATCTCCCTCTTCTCTCTGAACGTGCTGCGTTTTTTGAGTAGTCTTGGTTGCCGAAAGCGCATTGAAACCGGGGTTGACTTTGTAATGAAGGTTCAACAACCGGGTTTGCGTTTGTGCCCAAATAAGCCAACCTAATTCAGCCGGAGTGTGGCCAACACTGTCAGTGGGAGTGTGGGAACTGTTTGAGTCAGTTTGAGACTGACACCATAAAGATAAAAAAAAAAAAAAAAGCTGCTCTATAAAGTGTACACCCCCCTCAGATATCAGGTGACACATGTCACGTGCTACCTCAAAAGTGAAAGGTTTCAAACAATGACAAGGGAACGAGTCTTCCCTTGATGTATTAGATGTGAATTTTTGTGTACGCCTTTTGATCAAACATTTATTTCAGTATCCATGGGTTATGTACAGAAATTGATTGACATCATTAAAATGTAAAGACCCCTTACGGGCATAAGAAACCACCATTGGTTCACCCAATCATACCCTGAACTTAAGGATATATGGCAATACATTGTACTTGGTAGAGTCTTGTCTGTTGTTAGGGAACACAGAGAAATAATCTTGAAATTCTAAAGCGGTTGAAGTAGAAACAAAGACCCCATTTGTGCAAATTCAGTACATTATAATGTAATTAGCATCATAGATAATACGAATATGCATGTATACACCGAGTTAGCTGTATCTGTTGAAGCTATGTAACTTGATCCCTACTCCCTTTTACATGTAAACAGAAGTCCAAATGTTCACTTCGAAGATCGAATCTGTTCTCCAATTTCCACCCAAGTGTTTCTCAGGTGTCTCCTTGCCCAGCAAAGTCATAACTGTGGCAGGCGACAGATTAGGAGGCTTGTTTCTTACCTGGATAGAGATGATTTAGAATTAATCAGCTTTTAAAACAGTGTGCAAATAACCGACAGCTCTCTTGTACAAATTAGGCTGTAGTTCTCACTGAACTGACGAGGAAACAGAGCAGAGCTCAACTCCCTCTGAACGCGGTGACCAAACACTGCACTTGGGCAGTGAGGCTGGCTAGCTCCTGTTGGACCACACAAGTGACATCCCAACTGGGGCACGTCGAGCTTGGAAGCGGGAGTTACAGGCAGCGTAATGAAACGGCCTCCTTGCCTTTCAGATGGGCTGGAGGTCAAGTTCGTTTATTTGTTTTTAATTTAGCTGAACTTAGAGGCGGGTTGAAAGATGCCTTTGCCAGCAGGGATCTTTTGAATAGCTGCACAAACCTTTTGGTCTCTCTGTCGCTTCCCTCCAACCTCTCCTCTCGTTTGCAGGATTAGAAAAGCACTTGGGAGGCACATTCATCTTGCCGGCGTTGTCAGGAGTGATCAGCGAGTTTTATTAAACTCGGGACTGCCTGAAAAGCCTCCTTGTCTGAGTTTGAAATGAAAGGGGCATGTTAAGATCTTGGGGCACACTGTCGGGACCCCTTGCCCTGCCCCTTGGACTATGAGATAACATCCCTGGGGGAAGCACAGAAGCCCTCCTTTGTTGAAGGGATTTCGCCGGTGGACAAATGGAGCTGGCCCCTGACAGCATGAGCTCTCGGAGTTGGGGAGGGCCCCGTGCCCTGCCGCCGCCGCCGCCGCTGCTGCTGCTGCTGCTGCTGCTGTTGCTGCTGCCGGGCTGGGCCGGCCCCACCTTCATCAGTGTTAACCGTGGGGTCAGGGTGATGAAGGGCAGCTCTGCCTTCCTGTTGGGGGATGACCTGAAGTTTGCCATCCCCAAGGAGAAAGATGCTTGCAAAGTAGAAGTCGTGATGAACGAGCCAATGACCCAGAGGGTTGGGAAACTCACTCCACAGGTAGGTTGTACCTGAGATTTTCTATTAAGTGTGTGTGTGTGTGCGTGTGTGTGTGTGAGAGAGAGAGAGAGAGAGAGACAGAGACAGAGAGAAAACAAAGCAGTGACAGCCTTCCAAGGGCTGGAGTGGACAGTCTCTTGTGCGGTGTGATATGGTCAGTCTTTATGGGATTATTCCTGCCCCAAGTGACTTCATCCATTGCTAGTCAGGGTGCCTTTGGATAAGACATCAGGATTTCAAGATGTGTTTTAGGCCACACTTGTGACCGCAGGATAGCAAAAGTAAAACGTGAAGACATTTTCATCTCTGTCCATCACTTGAACATTCCCTTAACTAGGAGGACAGACATGGAAAAAAGAGGTGAAAATACTTCACTTTAAATATTCACTATTCTTCAAAGTGCATGGGTGGCTCAGCCAGTTAAGTGTCCGACTTTAGGTCATGATCTCACGGTTCGCTTACGGCCCCGGTTTGCTAGTCTGAGCCCCTCATCCGGGCTCTGTGCCGGAAGCTCAGAGTTTAGAGCCTGCTTCGGATTCTGTGTCTCCCTCTCTCTGCCCCTACTCAACTCATGCTCTGTCTCTCTCTCTCTCTCTCTCTCAAAAAAATGAATAAACATTTAAAAAATTAAAAAAAAATAGATATTCATTGGTCTTTAAAAATGTCTGTCAAAAAAATATTTCCCTTTAGTCAAGACCTTGGAGACCTTGTCATTTAAGAGTACTCTATGCACCGTCCTTTTGCAGGATGAAGAGTTACTTTCTAATCCATTGGATTTTAAAAAGTCTGTGTTATATTGTATTTGCTTAAAGTAGGAGTTTATCTCTGTACAAAATAGGAAATTGCTTCTGGTTTCCTTACTTGTTCCTACCGTGGTTTAACTTCCATTGCAGACAAGTTTGAGAATATTCAGCACTGGCTGCTGCTGCTGCTTCTGGAAAAATACCCATTATTTGTGAACTGTGAACATGAATCTTCGTCTCCATTTGGCTAAAGAATCATATTGCAGGAAGTTATTCAACAGTGGTACTAGATGTTGTAGAGATGGGCTGGCAAGACTTAGATAGATGCTAACTCAAATGGACATCTTTACTGCACTCAGAGTACAGTCCGATTCAGAAACCTATCAGAATTCTATGGAGGGTTCTCACTTAGGGAGTATTCCTGAAGTGATAGCAACCAAATGTCTCTCTCCAATTTCCCAGGAGATTTTCTTTTGTAAGTCCGAGCATCCAATGGGCACCTGAAACCCGTCGGTACACAATAATGGCCCTCACTCCGCAGGGGTTGTATTCCCAAGTGTTTGGTAATTGCAACATGACTTGGACTGTGGAAGTGTGTTTGATTGGAACTTACCAGTCGGGGAAGGAAGAGAGACCTGGGATAGCTCATATCCAGAGCCCAGATGTGCTTAATGCAATGAGTGGGTGACATGAATAAGTCAGCTGCAGAAAACGGAGTCCCAATTTCCGGAGTTAAAAGAACCTCCCTGGGGCGCCTGGGTGGCGCAGTCGGTTAAGCGTCCGACTTCAGCCAGGTCACGATCTCGCGGTCCGTGAGTTCGAGCCCCGCGTCAGGCTCTGGGCTGATGGCTCAGAGCCTGGAGCCTGTTTCCGATTCTGTGTCTCCCTCTCTCTCTGCCCCTCCCCCGTTCATGCTCTGTCTCTCTCTGTCCCAAAAATAAATAAACGTTGAAAAAAAAAAAAAAAAAAAAAAAAAAAAAAAAAAAAAAAAGAACCTCCTTGGAGTTGTGGAGAGTAATGTAGGACCCTAATCCTAGAGCTGCACGGATATATGTGGGTGCCTTATAAAGACTGATGAACTCATCATTTGGAACCCTTCCAATCAACGTATTTTTAAAAACTGTTCAACATTTATTTAGAAGTGAGGCTGAATATCTTGTGGGGGAAGAGAAGACAATTCTTCCTGGTGCCCACTGGGGCAACCTGTGGTCCATCTGTATTCGGCTCTGGCCCCAAGCATGGCAATTTGGGGAGAATATACTGTTACTTAAGCCAGTCTCTGAGACGTATCCTCTCCCAGTCCCAAATAGCCTGTGACTTATACACACACATATAGTACTTTCTCTGAAAGTAACGAAACTGTCTCCATTGTTTATTTTTGGTGCCATTTTAATGGTCTTCACTGTTTGGCCGGCTCTGCGATACCAGAGGGCAAAAGGGGATCTAAGTTACTACAACTAGGTGAAACGCTTATTTTCTCATAAGGATCGGAATAGTTCTCCAAGTCATCTCCATTCCAAACATTCTCAGATTTTAAGGCAAAAATCCAGTTACTAGGAAGAATATGGAGCAGAAACAACATGCCTGCCTGGTTGAGGCAAGTCTGGATGGGTAGGCTGGGGACGGGGCTCCGAAAAGTCCCAGGTTGTCCCCTCGTGTGCTGTGGCTTAGTGTAAGAAAATGTTCCGTGAGTGCATTTCCGTGGGTAAACCTGGCGTCTCAAATGGATTTAAATGGTCTACAGAAAATGTGTGACTTACAGCTTCTAAAATTTATTGTGTGAAAAAAGAGGCCATTGAACTGTGGAACTTGATTATATTTCTGCCAAATATTAGAATTTTGTACCATAAGGAAACCTATATACCCAGAAAACTTTGCTTCTCAAATTGCCAGGTGATCTTCCCCGTTTGTGATGACACTTTCAACAGAAACCAGATTCCTAAGTAAAGTCTGGCTTTTTTTTTTTTTTTTTTTTTTTTTTTTTTTTTTGGAATGTGTGCTTATTTTCAGTGCAGCCCTCCCCAGGGATTTATTTCTTATGGCGTTTTTGAAATTAAACATAGCCAAATGCGTGTGCACACACACAAAGCCTAAACATTATTCTTTAATAGCACTTACCAGTAAGTCGAAAGCAAGGCTTATGTGAACCCATTTCTAGCAAGATGACTGTATTAACAACACCCCACTGTGTAATGAACGGTTTTATTTGATTTGCAGAGAAAATGTTTTGTTTAACATCTGTTCAATTAGTGTTTTCATTTCATTACTGAAGTTTGTCTTAGGACCAACAGGTTCATTTTCCTATTGGATATTTGGAAAGGGATTTCAACTGGCGCATGCTAGTACCTTCTGTTTAGATAACCCTCTTGATATAGTCAATTAGATAAGGTCGGTGGCAATATGTTTTCCTCATGTTTTAGGATGAGACTGCCTCACGCACAGCACTTCTCACACCTGTTTCAAAGCAAGAAATTTCCTGGGTGGAAAGCACCTCAGTGTAGAGCTGAGCTTGCTTTTTTGACTAGGAAATACAGCAGTAAGAGAACATCTCTAGTTTAAACCAGTTTACTGTCATTAAAGTGAGTAATGAGTTAGGAATGTGTGACAATTTAATTATAAATTGTAATTGAAAAGCAGTTGAAGTGGAAAAAACCAAGGCTAGACAGTAATTAGAAAAGGATTTAGCTCTCCTTTGTTTTAGTTGGTAAATTTATGGACAATTATGGTTGTCGCCTTTTATAAAAGGAAAACATATTACGAAACATAAAACAGATGTTTCTTTTAACAAAGCAGATTGTCCCTTTATCACCATGACTATTTGTCAATGATATGGGGAAGGTCTTTCCTTTATCTCCTTCCTTGTTGTCAGTTAAAAAGAGGAACCAATGACGTCTGTGGGAAAAGAAGATCATTGGTATTAGTAATAAAGTCTTCTCAGGGAGGATGATGTCTGTAAATGATTGAGCCTGTGACAAAGAATGAGCTAAACACCGTGAACTCAACAGTGATGGTGTGTAAATGCCTCAAGGGTATTTCTTAATCCTCTACCAAATGAGATTGGGCAGAGCAAGAGTCATGGTGTGATGGGGATGGAAAATTCTTCTTTTAAAAATTAGGTTTCCCCAAACACAACAGTGAGCAATTTCCTTAATGGTTCTGAGTGAGGTGATACAGTTAATGATAATTTTATTTAATACAAGAAATTACCTTTAGTTTGCTCTGTGTCTCATCAACCATTTCCGCTATTATGTAACCAATAACACAGCCTTTTGCAAGTGTATGAGAAACACGTGTGGGTCGTGTTTGGCCCCAATCACCCCAACGCTGTCCATAGTCAGTGGTTCCAATTTTGAATATGAAAGTGCTCTCTGGAAAAGAAAGAAATGAAAGGAAAAGAAAAACTGCATAATATTTATAATACAGTGTGTTTGAGGGGTAACGCATGCCTTTTCATGCGTACACCCAGGTAGACCTCTCTAACTCAATTGTTATGAACCCCTGAACATTGTGGGTGTATAATATTTTGATAAATGGAACCATATTTAAATTTTTTTTTTTTAATTTTTTTTTTCAACGTTTATTTATTTTTGGGACAGAGAGAGACAGAGCATGAACGGGGGAGGGGCAGAGAGAGAGGGAGACACAGAATCGGAAACAGGCTCCAGGCTCTGAGCCATCAGCCCAGAGCCTGACGCGGGGCTCGAACTCCCGGACCGCGAGATCGTGACCTGGCTGAAGTCGGACGCTTAACCGACTGCGCCACCCAGGCGCCCCATATTTAAATTTTTTTAAAGCTTATTTCCTTATTTCGAGAGAGACAGAGAGAGGACGGGCAGGGGAGGGACAGAGAGAGAAGAGAAAGAGAATCCCAAGCAGGCTCTGGACTGTCAGCGCGGAGCCCGATGCAGGGCCGGGGCTCGCAAACCGGGAGATCATGATCTGAGCCGAAACCAAGAGTCAGACACTCAACTGGGCCACCCAGGCACCCCAAATGGAACCATATGTTAAGTGTATTATAGACTATAAAAATCATTGTATCAAGAGATAATTACTTGTTAATATATCTGCTTGATCTGCTTAGATTTTCATAATTTCGATATTCTCAAAATAAGACACATCTGTATGAAAGCAGGATGGTGAGCGGGCACAGGGGCGGGTAGAGGGGCACATTGGGTGGTGGTAGTTACAACGTGCACACACGCACACACACACACACACACACACGTGCACACCCCACTCACAGGCCATAATTTCCCCAGGCAGTATTCCACTGCCAGAGAAATCAAATCTTGTACCATTTTTTTTCACAAATATTTATCCATTTTTTCACACGAACTAGGTCTTTGACTGCCATTTCCTTCCTAATGAAGTAAAGTATATTCACAATGGTTGCCCGATTCTTGATGAAGACACAGTGAAGCTTAGACTTTACAGGTAAGCAGCACACATAACCATTCTGTGTACTTCTTAAGGCTTTATTTCTATAGATAGATATTGTCATGGGGCTAGTTACTAGATTCCAAAGAAGACAGTCATCAGTAGAAATTGAGGACCTAAGTAGATGAGGCAAGAATTATAGCTAACTTTCAATTACCTTGATTTGTATCATCTTCCTGGCGGCTTTTCTGTAGCAAATTTCTGTCCTGCTTCCCTTCAGGGGATCACCTCCGGTGATCCACCTTCTTACTTCTGACAGGAAGTGAAAATTGCAAAATACAGATTCCTAATGAGAAGTAGGAAAATATATTCCAAAGCTGAATGGTATTCTTCATTCTGATTATCAGCCGCTTAGTTCATAAGTAGTACAGTAGCTTCTAATTTTAAACATACTAAATGATAGAAGTGTTAAGAAAATCAATGATAAAGTTAAGTACAGAGTGACCATGTGACCCAGCGGTTCTACTCCTAAATGTACAATGAGAGGAATAAAAACCTATATTTTCACTTGTCCACAAATCTTCACTGTAGCATTATTCGTGATATCTGAAAAGTTGAAATCCTAACTGATGAATGTATAAGCCGAATGTGGCATATCCATACACTGGAATGGTATTCAGCCATGCAACAGAATGACGATCTGATTCAGGCTATAGCATGGATGGACCTTGAACCCATCATGCTCAATGAAAGAAGCCAGACACAAAAGGTCACATACCTTTTCATTTATATGCAGCATCCAGAAAACACAAATCCAAAAACACAGATTAGTGGTCGCCAGGGGTGGGGGAAGGGCACATGGGGAGTGACTGTTAATTGCCATGAATTTCTTTTTGGCGTGATAAAAACGGTCTGGAATTAGATAGTTGTGATGGTTGCACAACCTTGTGACTATACTAAAAACCACTGAGCTGCATACTTTAAAAAGGTGCATTTGAGGGTATATGAATTATAGCTCAGTAAAAAATTAATTTAAAAAGGTAGCTCATGGTTATGGTATTACTCACTTCATAGAGGTGACTGACAATTCAGTAGATGGGATAGGCTTTTAGATAGTTTTTTACTTATTTTTGTTGCTGTTATGAATATTTGGCTAAAATATCCTAGTGTGTATTTCCCTGAAGTACTACCGTAACACAAAGCGTTTTGTAGAGGACGCTGGAACAGTGAATCATCCTATAGACACGTATGATCACCTGCTATAGCTCACGGCCCTACGCTGGGCATAGGAAACCCGAAGGTGAGGATACATGGACTTTACGTGCTCCTAGGCTGACCCAAAATAAGGGTAGGTACTTGTAATGCAAAACAAGTCTTGAAAGAGAGGCTGGAACAAAATGCTGTGCTCAAAAAAAGAAACAATACCCGAAGATTCCTTATAACCAGCACACTGGGTGGTGGTTTGATCTTTCTACGACTGCAGAGTTAGAAAACGAACTTTGGACAGCTTGCCTGGAAGGGCTGGAGAAGCTGATGAGTTCCGATTGCTCCCACTCCTGGGGTTTCCAAGGGGCGCAGAGGGTGCAGGAGCAGGGCCAGAGAAGGGCTGAGGCAGAGGAGCTGCTCTTCTTGGTCTCGAGGACATTCGAAATAGAATATTCAGAGGAGGTGGAGGCAGAAAAATCAGAGAACATGCTTGTTCCCTCCTCACCTCCTCTTCGGCCCCTTTGGCAAGCTACTTGGCCTTTGTGCCTCGCTGTTCTCACCTGTAAATGGAATTGACAGTGCCTCTCGTGGGTTTCTGAAGAGCAAGAAGATGTTGATGCTGCAGAAACTCCTCACCCTTTCACTCCTGAATCACAATTCGGTCCATAAACTGCACGAGCTTGATACTCTTAAATGATACATGTGCTGGGAGTGAGATTCTGAGCTCCCAGAAGTCATTACATATCAGTACGGATGACGGGTTTGAGAGAAGGTGTTGAAAGAAAGATCCTGGGGATGGAGATGGCGGGAAAGAGAGTCGACACCAAGCTAAGGAGATGAACGGACAAGGACAGAGATTGGGAGTAGAAATCCAAACTCTTATAAAGGCAATCTTTAAGCTTCAAAGCAAGTCAGTTCACAGATACCAGAAGTATCTGAGCACCAGTACATATTGCCTTTGCTCCGTTCTCTCCACAGGTTTACTGAGACGGATACCTTCATGGAAACCTTTATCCTGCGGGTCTATCTCCTGGAACCAGACTGTAACATCATCCGTATGAGTAACAACGTACTGGAGGTGTCCGAATTCTATGGCCTGTCCCGAGCCATTGATAAGAACGTGCTCAGATTTGACTACGAGGGGGCGGCCGGCCTGGAGTGCACAGTCAGGCTGGATCCTGTGGGAAGCCGGCTGCCAGCCCACGGTCAGGTGGTCCTGCTGGAGCCTCGGCCAGAAAAACCTCGTGGAGATCAGCCGCACAGTTTTTTCCCTGAATCTCGTATGTATGTTTGAATACTTATCTGAATGTTACGAGAACTGATGTATCTGGAAATAGTCATTTTCCACTGGGACAAAAAGTTGGACTTGATCTAAGAACGCGTTGCTGGTTGAAACATGTCAGTTAGTGGGGAAGAGTACGCACTTGGGGATCCATACGACCTGGGTTTGAAAACTGCCTCTGCTATTTCTTTCCTGGGTGATTTTAGGTAAGTTACTTAACTGCATCAAGCCTCTGTAAAAGGAGAAAGGAGAGTAGCTGCCTCACAGGGTTGTGGAAAGCTGGAGTACATGAGATCCCGCGCACAAAGTGTGGTTCACACCATGTCTGGCTCATAGCAAGTGCTCCGTAATTGTCAGCTGTTATTATTCATGGTAGCAATGGCAGGGGTCGTGACAGTAGTTGGTGTATTTATTAAATACTGTTTGATTATGAATAAGTCTGATGTAGAGCATAGCGGTAGCCATGGTTTAAATCAGGAAGAGTTGATGGACAATGTTCCTTCTGTTATTCATTTCATCAGTATATTTTGGGCACCTCCTATATGCACAATAGTATTCTAGGCATTATGGGAAGGCCAAGAAATAGAAGGGATAATCACGATCACAGTAATGCCTTGAATTTGGGCCTCAATTTACAGCTAAACGCAGGCTAGCACACGAAGTGCTCTTGTTTAGGGTTCACAACCATCTGGTTAAGAAGTAGAATACTCATTTTGTACGTCAGGGGAATGTACAGAAGGCCACTGGAAACGTGAGTGGCCTATGTGTGTCATTTACCCCACAAGAGTGAACTATGAAGCCGGGCAGAGACAGAGAGACTATGGCAGAGATGATTATGGTTTTTAGTGGGAGAGATCAGGTTGGTTGAGGTGGTTACAGAGTATTTAAAGGGGGGTTAAGAAAAGGACTAAGCGGACCTGGAAGGGTGTCTGGACTTGAGGGTGTGAAGAGCACAGCAGGGAGAGAATTTCAGCGAGTAGAACAGCCTCAGAGAGACCACATGAAGAAGCCATGGAAGCGGATGCAGTGAAGGAAGGCCTGTGCTGGACGATGGGAGGCAGTCGTGACCCAGAGGCCTATCTGTCAAGGATATTCAAGCACCAGAACATGCATTTTATGATTTTTTTTTTCTCTCAGTGTGACTTTTGGTGGGCAAGGATCTCAGGAGACAACTGGTCAACCATTCTTTTCAGTAAAAGAAACAACAGGGTTCTAGAGCAATGCCGGCCCTCTCCGTGAATGACTAGAGGGTGGATGAGGGTGTTCGTGAGGCAGTGAGAGGGAATAAGTATCCATGGGAGGGAGGATTAGTTTTTTACATTTCACAGTCATGCTCAAGTGACTCTCTTAATTCAGTGCTGTCCATTCTAGAACTGGGAACAGACCTGAAGTGTCCAGGTGGAAGCTGTAGCCTGGGCCTGAAGAAAGCAGGAAGTATCAAAGTGAGCTGTGAGGAGTTCCTGCTGATGGGGCTTCGTTACCAACACACGGACCCCCCTTCTCCCGACATTGATTACATCTCCATCCGGCTGGACCTCACAGATGGCAGGAGTAAAATCGTATACAAGGTAGAGTTCGGGGTTCTGTGTCTGTCCCCCACCGCAGCAAGAGAGCCACCTCCATGGAGCTGCTCGGGCTGACTGCCATGCCGGGACAGACAGCTCCTGGGCCATTGCGGGTGGGACTGCCCAGTAACGCATGAGAGCTGCAGGCTTGTTGGGGCGCCTGGGTGGCTCAGTCGGTTAAGCGTCCGACTTCGGCTCAGGTCATGATCTCATGGTTCGGGGGTTCAAGCCCCGCGTCAGGCTCTGTGCCGACAGCTCAGAGCCTGGAGCCTGCTTCGGATTCTGTGTCTCTCTCTCTCTCTGTGTCTCCCCTACTCACATTCTGTCTCTCTCTCTCTCTCTCAAAAATAAATAAAGTTTAAAAAAATTAAAAAAAAAAAAGAACTGCAGGCTTGTTCTGCCAGTGAGTGCTTAAAATTGGATGGAGCCTTTGTGCAGACTGTCAGTCTATAATTTCTCCTCCCCGACTCTCTCCTAACTCTGCCACCACTAAGGCAATGGAGGAAGGACTGGGGCCAGTTACATGCTACCCTTCTTCTTCCTCCTCCCCCTTCAGTATTCTTCAGCTTGTCATTTGATCTTTTGTAGCACCCTCTCTTTGAGGTTTCATTTCCCCCTTCTTTTATAGAACTTCTTTTCCCCCATTAGAGGAAATGAGGGGGCGCACACATCCACTAGGTAAGTCCATGGGAGACTAGGAAGAAGGGGAAACCTAGTCCCATTTTTACGAGTATAGTGGATTATATCCTTTTCATTCTTCCAGACTTTTAGATGGAGGACTAGGTCATCAAAGAGACAGGCAGTCCCCCGAAGCCTCCTCCATCGTTCAATCTCTTTTAAATCTCCCACCCTTCCCTTCTATTGACCTCACACTGACATGAAGGTAGAAGATGAAATCAATTTATATGAAATATTGAACATGCTACTCCACTGTCATATACTCTAGAATTGGTTTATTTGGGTAGCTGAGCAACTGTGCACCAGCTAAAACAGCTCAGACTTCATGCTGACGTAAGATGATCCACGGTAGCATTCATGAAAGACCTCCATCTTTCAGACTTTGACTTCTCATTAGGATTCCTCCTAAGAAACTCAGATATTGAACATTATTATCCCCCCGCCAAGGAATTGGTAAGACAAGAAATGATAAGAAAATAATAAAGTAAGGTCATAGAATTTTAGAATTGAGATAGATGGTCTGGTCAAATTGATTAGGTAAATAACTTGGAGAATCTTAAAGGATAGATTTCTGAGCCTCATGGTAGCGAAAAGCATGAACACTGGGCCCAGTTTGCCTGGGTTCAAATGTCTATTTAACTAGCTATCTGACTTTGGATTTTATACCTCAGGTTTTAAAACCTGAGAGAACCTACTTCTGAGAGTAAGTGAGAGAAATAAACAAGATGATACTTACAAAGCACCTGGCACATAGTAAGCACCATGCATGTTTTGCCAGTTAAAGAAGCTACCCAGGAAAAAATGGGTCATCAGCTACGTTTGGAAATGGCTGGTGTAGCCCAACCCCTTGTTGTAGGGTGGTGGCCAGAGAAATTGCATGCCTTGTCCATACATATGTGGCTGTATGACTGAGCCAAGACTAAATGCTAGGCCTCCTATCTGTAGATGTCTTTTTGTCTTTTTGACACAAAGCTTTCACTTCTATTGATTTCTTATCTCCATTAAAAAAATTAGACCCATTTTTCTTCCTGACTGATTTTTCTTCCTTTAAAAAAATTTTTAAAAAATATTTCTTTAATTTTGAGAGAGAGAGAGAGAGAGAGAGAGAGAGAGAGAGAGAGAACGAACGAATCAGCAGGGCAGGGGCAGAAAGAGAGGAAAACACAGAATCCAAAGCAGGCCTCAGGCTCTGAGCTGTCAGCACAGAGCCCGATGCGGGGCTTGAACTCATGGACCATGAGATCATGACCTGAGCCGAAGTTGGACACTTAACCGACTAAGCCACCTAGGTGGCTCCCCTGACTGATTTTTCTTTTTTTTTTTTTTACATCTCTATATTGAGTTAGGACTTTGTTTATATTTTCAGATCAGTTTGATTGGGATTTTACCCCTTTAAATGACCTTCTTGTTTTATTAATTAACTTACTCCATAGGCAATTTGGCATGTCATAAAACACATTCTTTTATGAATATCAAAACAATATGCTCACTGCAGAGAATAATTTTTAAAAACCTCATAGAAAGCACAATAAGAAAACAGAACGAGTTATGTTTCAACCCTTTTATACACACACACACACACACACTTATACACATGGTAAGGAGACAGGTACAACAGTGTTGATTCTGTTTCATGCAACTGAATTTATACTATATTTGAAGTTTTAAAATCTTGTTCTTTTATCATTTTTATGCCTGTACAGTCCATTCTCATCAAGTAACTAAATGACTCTTCACCCATAATTTCTTCTAGATTTTTAAGGATTTCTTGTTTACATTTGTTTTTGTAATCTACCCAAAATGAATTCCTTAATATTGCGAAACACAGGAACAGTTTTTTTCCCACGTAGCCCAGATTTCAGCACTTGGTATTGAAGAACTAACCTGTTTCTCATTGATTTTTGATGCTGCTTCTATTGCATAGAAAATATTATGTATATGACTTCAAGGCTAGTTCTTTTGCTCCTTAGATTTGCCTACTTATTCTTGTGCCAGTATCATTCATTCTACATATAAAAGGGCAATGATACACTTCGGTATTTTACAGGCAAGTTCTTCCTTATCACTTGTCTTCAAAGTTTCCTAACCCATTCTCACCTATACGTAGTTCTCAAGCCCTAAGTAGTTTTATCGGGATTGGATTAAAACTGTATGCTATTTTGGAAGTAATTGGAATATTAGAACATTTAGCGTACTGAGCCTTCTTAGCCAGAAATGAGGGATCTCGCTTCATCTAGGCAAATGTTCTTTGATGTGTTTCTGTAAAATTTGCAGTTTTCTTCGTGTAAGTTGAGCATACTTATTAAGGCCTGTCCAAGGCAGTATGCTTTTGGGAAATTACTATGAATAGGCACTTTCCCCTCCATTATATTTTCTCATTGGTTACTGATGATAAATAGGAAAGCTATTTTTTGGTATAATTTTCTTTTATCTGGCTTCTTTCTTGAATTCAATTATTCCAAGAATTTTTAAATTCTTTGGGCTTTTGAAGACCATAATTATATCTTTCACTAATGATGATAATTTTGTCCTTTCTTTTTCAGTAATTATTCCTCTTATTTTTGCTATGTTCTCCACTGGTTTGGCCAGAATAATATTAAATATAATGATTCCTATAAGAATCCTTGTCTTGTCTATTTTATCAATATCAACTGCCCACGCTGTCCTTTTTTAATGCCTTTTGCCTTGATTCATCTTTCTTTGAAAGTAATATGACCACTTCTGCTTTTTTCTTTACATGGTAACTTTGGATTGTCCCTTTAATTTAATCTTTGTATGCAATTTTATTCTAAATGCCTCTCCTATAAGGCATAAGTAATTAGCTATTTAATTTCAGAATATTTGTCTTGAACATGGGAATATAAGCTACGGTTTTATAATAATGGGCATATATTTTTTCTGTCATCTTGTTTTATGTTCTCTTGCTAACTAAAAAAAAAATTTGTCTTGTAATATAGATTATATTTTCTATGCCTTTTTCTTCACTTATTTGAAAGTCGTTTATCTGACCTTATGTTTTACTGGGATTTAGTTCTAAAATTGAAAACATTGTTTAACTTAAGTTTTTAATATTTAAGACAAAAAATGAAATGAGTCTTTTGGCTCCTTCCTATATATGATGAGGATCGGTCCTATTTATCCTTTCTCCTAGTGATTGCCCATCTCCCCACCTTTGTTTATGCAATCTGAAATTTTAGTGGTCTCCTCAGTGGCTCAGTCAGTTGAGCCTCTGACTCTTGGTTTCAGCTCAGGTCATGATCTCATGGTTCGTGGGTTCAAGTTCTGTGTTGGGCACGGCAGTCACAGCGCACGGAGCCTGCTTGGGAGTCTCTCTCCTCTCTCTGTCTGCCCCTCCTCTGCTCTCACGCACTCCTGTGCACTCGCTCTTTTCTTCTGATGAAAATAAACATTAAAAAAAAATAAACATTTAAACATTTATAAGTAAACATTAAAAAAAATAAAATTTTAGTTCTAGCATTCAGTTATTATATTTGTTATTTCTTATATCGTCTATCTTTTATTTCAAGTAAGCTCTTTTTGATGTTTATATCCATTTTGTTAACATGTCTAAAATAACATATTTATTTAGGCTTAACCCTAGGCTTAGATGGTCTTATTGTTCAGCACCAGTCCTTTTATGTTGTGATTTTCCCATTCTTGAATTTTCCAATTATGACTCTATTTTTTAACGGCATGTGAAAAATAGATACTCTAAACCCTGAGATGTCTCAGCTTATCATTAATTTGTCTTCATAGAGCATGCAGCGGGAGGGGAGAGGGGTGATTGTCTCCTCTTTCTCTATTGTACTTCTCTCTTAGGAGTTTTGCTGGCTAGTTTCAGGACCTCTGACCTGGGGGGGCCAGTTTTTGGGGAGCGGTGGGGAGAGCGTTGAATGAGACACTGATAGAATATGACTTCATGCCCCCTAAGTCTGGCAAATGTTTCAAGCTGCTTCTTTGTCCCCAGGGCAGTTTCTGCTTTCTCTGGGGATCCCCAGTCCTGGACGTCTCCTACTGGTGGATCTCATCTCCAGAGGAGGCGTTTCTGAGTATTCACTTGCAAGTCCTCCCATAGCTCCTAGGATGATTCCCACCTCCAGCTGCCTCTGGCAGGGAATCTTTGCCTTCTCGCAGAAGCACCAAAAGGTCAGGGTCCAGGATGACCCCACACCAATCCTCTGTCTCACTTGGCCCATATCTGGAGCACTCAGATATTTTTCTCTGCTGCAAACAAGGACTACAGGCAGATCCCAGAACAGACACCATTATTCTTCTGCGTCTGGCTACTTAGTTCCTCCTGTATGAGCATCAGTCCTTTGTGTTCTTACCTGTAAAAGATACATTTTAAGGCTGGTCTCAAGGAAACTTCTCTCTGGACACTGGATACCAGAGACAAATATAGCATTGCCCACTTTTCCGCTTCATGGAGGCGTGTGGGGTTGGGGACCAAAGGAGTGACTCAGAACAGCAATGCACTCTTCTCTACGAAGAAAACTTTCTCTTCCCCTCTCAACCCTTCTCTGTTCTTGTAGTGAGTGAGAGGGTTCTAGAGTCTGGAACTGGTTCTAGACAATCTGCTTTGTAAATTCTGCCTATAGTATTGGTATCACATTCACTTTGAAATCTGTTGTCACTTTCATTGGAACTTTAGTTCAGCCTGAGCCAAAAAGAATTCCATTTTTAACATTTTGTTGCATACAGATTACAACTTGTAGTCCAATATCCAGTGTTCAGCATACTGAATGTGACTTATTTGGGGGTCCAGTATTTCCATTTCACAAATGGGTGGAGGGGGGAAAGATCTAGGAATTAAATAGCTTGATTAAAATCGTAAGTGCTGGACATAGAATCAAAAGGATATTTCCTTCTGATGCCAAAACTATTGTCCCTTTTCAACCCCGGCTACATGTTAGAGTCACCAGAGAGCTTTAAAAATACCAGTTTTTTCAGAATGCAAGCTGGTGCAGTCACTCTGGAAAACAGTATGGAGGTTCCTCAAAAAACTAAAAATAGAATTACACTACGACCCAGCAATTGCACTACTAGGCATTTATTCACGGGATACAGATGTGCTGTTTCAAATGGACACATGCACCCCCATGTTTGTAGCAGCACTATCAACAATAGCCAAAGTATGGAAAGAGCCCAAATGTCCATCGGTGGATGAATGGATAAAGAAGATGTGGTATATCTATACAATGGAGAATTACTCGGCAATCCAAAAGAATGAAATCTTGCCATTTGCAACTATGTGGATGGAACTGGAGGGTATTATGCTAAGTGAAGTCAGTCAGAGAAAAACAAATATCATATGACTTCACTCATATGAGGACTTTAAGAGACAGATGAACATAAGGGAAGGGAAACAAAAGTAATATAAAAACAGGGAGGGGGACAAAACAGAAGAGACTCATAAATATGGAGAACAAACTGAGGGTTACC